CTATTCTCAAGACCGTAGCTTTATACTTTAATATATAAAGAAAACCCTGAACTCTTTTAGATTTTTTTTGTTTTAGTTTTTATAATAGTGGTTTTGTGCTGGTCCACATTCTTTTTACACATTAATGAGATGGCTTATCGTGGTTACAGGTATAGCAAGTAAACTCTCTATCCTCTAGCCTGCTATCTTTTTCTTATTTTTATCAGTTGACACCAGTTATTGAGACCCCACTATTATGTCAGATTTATCAGTTGCTGCCTCTGGAGGTTTTCCTAAGGCTAATTAAATTTGTAGGCACTTTTGATTGCATAGTTCTCATTTGCTCCCTTAGGAACTGAGGAAATGAAAAATCAATTTAGTATGAGATGATGTGGATAAGTTAACCTTTGTATTACTCTGTTATGAAAAATTGTTCAGATTCTGGTGTCTCTAAAATAGTTTGGAAATTTAGTCTTCAATAACCTAAGGCTTCTTTGCTTTGTGATGTATATTAAAGGAAAACCTAAACCAACCACTTAATTTTAAAAGTTATTGAAAAGCCTTAAATTGACAACAGGAACCACTAGCCTGTTGTTTTAGGCTATAGTATTACTGATCAGTGATGATTGGTTTGCAAAAAAACTTTAGTTGGATTCTTTTTTGCCATGTAGAATATTATTTTCTCAAATTGCAATCCTCCCATCCTCATCCCTTTGCATTGCTCTTTTACCCCAACAAAATGGGGATTCTTACATTTATTAACAAACCTTTTTCATTCACTCATATCGTGCTTTAAACAAGAATTACCATCTACCAGGCTGGCCAGTAAGCTCAGTTGGGAGGATTCAATCCCCAGCCAGCCACCAATAAAATAAAATGAATTTTTAAAAAACGAGTTACCATATACCATGTGTTTGATTATGGTCTCAATTGAAATACCTCTTAGAAGAATGGTGATCTTAGGAGACTATACATTTTTTTCTTTTTGTCTTTTTTACTGACCAGTAACGGGATCGCAACCCTCGGTGTCA